TGCGCGGCCCAGGGGGGCAGGAGGCCTCGGACCAGGGGACGGCATCGTGCCGGCGGCCGGCGCACGGCGCCGGGGGCAGGGGGAGGGCGAGCAAGAAAGCAGGGCACCGGGGCCGGCCCGAGGCGAGGCCCGCCGACCTGGCTGGCGGCCGGGACAGGGCGCGCCCAAGGTGCATGGTCGGCCAGGTGCGCGCCGGCACCCCGGGCGCAGGCGGGCGTGGCCGGTGCTGCTGGTGCGCCGGCCGCCCCCCGGGCCCGCGAAGCGCATGGCGAGACAGTGTGCCAGGGGGCGGTCCGGCGGCCGGGCTTGCACGCCCCCCCTCCCGGCGGAGCATGGCCCACGTCCGGGCTGGTGCTCTGGCGGCCGCGAGGATCTTGGCGCGCACGCGCGGCCAGAGAGCCTCCCCAAAAGCGGGGCGAGCAAAAGGAAATTCCCATACCGGGACTCGAACCCGGGTCTCGTGGGTGAGAGCCACGTATCCTAACCACCTAGACTATATGGGAGGGGTGAGTGATGAGGGCGCAAGGAGGCCTTTTGTGCCTTCGGCGAGGGGGGCCTCGCTTGCGCCCCCAGGCGCCCCCCACGAAGCAGGTTGGCAAGCGCTCGGTGGGGGGGTGTCCCGGCAAAAAAAAAAAAAAAAAAAAAAGAAGGGGGGCTGCTATGCCGGACCAGGAACATGACCAAGGAAGGGGCCATAGAAGCGGCGACCGGGCTGCCAGGGGGCGGCACAGGCCCCACCGGGAGACCCTTTCGCCGGGGGCGTGGAGGGGACTCCTTGCTCGTGGGTGCGGGTGCGCCGGGCGGATGAGGCACTCGGTGAAGGGGTCGGAGGGGGGGGGGCCGGGCTGGGGGCGACCTGCCTTGGTGATCGACGGCGGGGCGGGGCAGAAGAGACGCCCGGGCGGCGGGCGGCCGATGCGCGGCTCGGGAACCGGCGAGGGCGCGGCAAGGGCCACCGTGAGGCCCGGTGCCGGGCACCCCCGTCGGGCGAGCCGGCGCCGGAAGATGAGCTGCGCGTGGTTTCGGAGGGGGAAAGGCAATGCCGAGGCATGGCTATGGTAGGGCATGTTGGCTGATCGGACGCAGAGCGTGCCACTGGGCCGGGCCCGGAGGGGGGGGGGGGGCATCATGAAGTTGTTGGGCGCAGGCGAGGAGCAGGCCCACCGAGGCCCAAGGGGAGGGCGGCCGGGAGGCAGTGCCGGTATTGTCCCGGGCGGAGGGGGCGCGATGTGGCGGTGGCCCGGGCTGCTGGTCAAGCGGGGGATGTGTGGCGAGGAAGCGCCGCAGAGCAGGGTGAGCACGTCCGGGGGCCCTGCTGCCGGGGACGCATGTGCGGCGGGCGGGCGGGCGGGCGGGCGGGCGGGCGGGCGGGCGGGCGGACGGGCGGGCGGACGGGCGGGCGGGCGGGCGGGCGGGCGCGGGATGCGCCATCCGCGTGGAGGAGACCTGGGCGGCGGCGAATGTGCCCGGGGAAGGGCGCCGCGTTTGACGGCGCCCCGGGGCCTCCGTGGCGGACACCGGATGCAACCGGGGCCCGAGGCGGCCGGGCACAGCGCCGAGGCGGGCAGCCCGTCGCGGGCCGGGTGAGCGAGCAAGCGCCATGGGGCCCGGGCCATCGGATGATGAGGGGCCCGACCGGGGGCGGCCCCGGTGATACTTATGGGGGGCCAGCCCGGAGCTCGGCCGTGCCGGGGACCCGGGGCAGGGCGCCGGCCCTCGGGCCCATCGATATCTCGACCACGGAGGGGACCGGGCGGGCCCGAGATCGCCCCCTGGTCGTGGATTCCTTCGGAGGGGGGCCGTCGCCACGCCCAAAGGCCAGGCCGTACCATGGATCCGCGCAGCAAGAGGCGGAGCGGGGGCCTGCTTCGGGGCGCTCGTTCGCGGCCCGGGACCTGGCGCCGCCTTCGGGCCGGGGAGCCGAGCCAGCGCCTTTTGGCGGTCTGGGGGCCGGGGCATGGAGGCCCGCGCGCCGGGCGAGGAGGATCCGGAGTGCGGGGGGGGGGGATGCCGCGCGCGTGTCCGGGCCCCGGGGCGCCGGGGCCCTTCTCGTATGTGTTGCGAGGGCGTCGCGGCGCGGGGATGCCACCGGCCGCTGCCGCATGCCAACGCATGGACCTTGCTCGCCCGGCGGTCGGGGGGGAATACCGGCGGGAGGGGTGAAAAGGGAGCATTAATATATGCACGGCGGCCGCGGGTGGCTTTTATTTTGGGTGCCTGGTTTCACCTGTGCCCCTGCTTCCTGCCCCCCCCCCCAGCCCAGGGCTGCGAGCGTCCCCCTGTGGCATGGCCCCCCGGCGCCTTGGGCATTTGTTTCTCGGTCCTTTCTCTCGCCGGTGCAGAGGCGGCATGGGTGCCACATCTTGACGCCGGGGCCTGGCGCGGCGGGCGGGGAGGGGCCGACGGACAGTGGACGCGCATCGCGCAAGGGGGCCGCACTGCGGCGCGGGCCCTCCTCCGGCGGGGTGTTGGTTGGTTGGCGACGGCCGGCTGCCGATCCACCCTACCATCCTCGTGCGGTCCCTCGCCCCCCTCCGCTGGCGGACACCGCCACGCCGGCCCAGCATGCCATTGCGCCTCGGTGCCGGCCCGGGCCCATCGATGGCCCCCGGCCCTTGCTACTCCAGCGCCGTCTGTTCCCCGCACTCCCCGCGGGCCGGGCCCGCCATTCCCATCGTCGAGGGGCCCATTCCGCGCGCCTGCCGCAAAGTGATTCCCCTCCCCCGGCTACATCTTCCCACAATCGGCCGAGCCCCGCACTCGGCCCTAGCCAGGCCCGCTCTCCGAGTCCCCTTCTCCCTCCCTGAGTCCCTCTCGCTCTCTGCAGCCGCTCTTCATGGTGTCGTTTGTTTCGTCGAGGACACCCTCCTGCGGCGGTGTCCCTTTCCCGGTGGACACTGCGGCACATGCCTCCACCATGTGTCGACCCGGCCGGGCCGACCATTCAACATCCCTCCCCGAACTGGCCAGCCACCCACGAGAGCCCCCTTTCGGCCGGCGGGGCAGCCTTCTTCCCGGTCCACAAACCCTCCCCGTGGAGGCCCCGGTCTTGGGCACCCTCCGCCCCCTGCATCCTTCCGGGCCACGACACAGCCCGCCCATCTCCTCGCCATCCAGACCACACCCTCGGCCTGCCCGTCTGCCCGAGGCCCGCTTCCGCCGGACCACTCGCTCGACCGCCACGTCGAGCCCCGTGCACTCGCTACCTACATCCGCATTCACATGGCCCACACGGGCCTCGGCCGGGGGGAGGGGTCCATCCTTCGGAGAGCCGGGCCGCTTCCCCACGCGCCAAAGGCCGGAGCCCCACCACACCCCGGGCCGTCCCGGAGATCACGACCCCCGCCGAGAGGCTCCGGCCTGCTCGGACGAGGGAAACCCCTTCGCCGGCGAGGACGCAAGGGACCTGCCCAAAGGGCGGGCCGAGCGTCCAAGCCGACTTCCCGGCATGTGCGCAGCCGCCTGCCCCGTGGTATCCCGGCCGAGGGGCGGCCACAGGGCAGCCGTCGATCGCCCCTTCGCGAAGACACTCCCCGGAGAACCGCCGGCCCGTGTCTCAGTCCCGGATGTGGCCTCTTGGCCGGGGGCTCCCGAGCACGCTTCCCCGCCACCCCACACCGAGCAGGCGCCTTCCGCCATGCCGGTATCCAGGAAGCGCGTCGATGCATCCTCGCCTCCGGTCGCGGAGGCAGCGTCGGCAAATCCGCCCGCCGCCCCGTTGGCCCCGGCGGCGCGGCACCCATCCCCCCTCCCCAGTGCACTCGGCGGCATCTTCCACCACCACAGCCACCGCCGGGCGGCCCATGCTGACGACATTGCACCGCTCGCCGACCCCAAGGGGGGGGGGGGCACACCGCTGGTGTGCCATCGGCCGATCAACCGGCACACTGGAGCCGGTGCCCGGCCGAGGGTCACTTGCCCCCCTCCTGCGGCAGCCTCTTCGGAGGCGTCAAGATGGGCCGCGGTCAAGTGGAGGTGCCTCCTCCGGGTGCTTGACCGCGCGCGGGATGTCCCGCCCCCCGCCCATCGGCGCCTTTGGGTGTGGCGGCCGCATGGGGCTGGTCCACGCTGCTCGCCGCCGAATGTCCCCCTCCGCCCGGGCAGGCGCCACACCGACAGCAAAGGCAGGCCCACCAGCATGGGCGACACGCTGGCATGGGACGTCAAAGCCGGCGACCACCGCCATGGCGGCTCCTCGCCAAGTACCCGGCTTCAGCCAGTCCTGTTCATTTGTGCAAATGCCTCGGGCACAGGCATGGGCGCGGGCCTCCTCCCGCCTGCCTCTCCGGCCCCTCGCGGCCCGGCCGGAATCCTTGCCACCCCCCCCCCCAGGGACCATGCCCCCACCCGGCGTCTTGTCGCCACTTTCCTCCCCCCCCCCCCCTGACGGCCCGCACGCAAGGGCAAGGCCGATGCCCGGGGCACGGACGCGACGCCTTGGCCACCAGCCCGGCTCCCGCTCACTGGGCGGCGCCTCCTCCGCAATGGCCGCTCCGCCGCTGCCTCCGCGGGCCGCTCCCCCTCGATCCCTGTGTCGGGCTCAGCCTCTCCTGCGCCAGGGCCGATGTCGGTGCCTTTGCAGACCGGCCTGCTCGCCCTCTGGCCGGGGCGGCTGCTCCCTGACGCCACGCCGATGGCCCTCGCCTGCTGCCCGAGCACTGACATCGCCCCGCCGAGTGCCGGGGATCCCCGGCCGCCCGGCTCGCTGCTCGCCCGATCCTGCAGCCCGGCCACTGCATGTCCTCTTGGCGGCGCCCTGATCGCGCCCGGCCCACGGATACCCGTGGCGCGTCGCCCCCCAGCCAGCGAGGCAAGCGCCCACCCAGACGGCGCCGCCCCCGTGCCGGGGACGGTATCCACCAGCCTCGGGGCAGGCTCGCCTCTCCGGGCCGATCCCCCGGCCGAGCTTCCCCCGCGTGGCCTGCCGCACATCCGGCCGCTCAGCATACCCCGACGTGGGCAGCAAGTAAGTCCGAGAGTGGCGCCCCCCTTCCCCACGCACCAGTCGTAAAACCTTCACCCTAGACCCTGCCGGCCTGCGCGGCCGCAATGGCAACATCCGGATCCCGGAGCCCCTCGGCATGGGATCCGCCCTTCCCTGGCGCCCGGCACCCTGGCCGGCACACAGCAGCGATGGAGCCCCCACCGCCGCCGCCGCCGCCGCCGCCCGAGAGCAGCCTCCCAGCCCAAGGCCTATGAGCGGCCGCTCGTGCCACCCGGGGCTGTGGTGCCTTCGCCGCAGCCCCCACGGTCCCGCGCGGCCCGACGACCCTCCAAGGCCCGGGCAGTGGTGGGCACCTTCTCGCGCGACATCGCACCATCCCCCCTGGCGCCTCTCGGGCCCATGACCCGGGCACCGCCCCCATCCGGGCCAAGCAATGAACGCATGCTCGACTCGGCCCTGTGGCGCGATGGCCCCCGCAAAAGGCGCAGCCCTCGCCTCCCGGTCGCCCGCCGCTGGCAGCCCGACGGCCTGGCCGGAGGAGCCCCCGCAAGCAGGTGCAATGGCCATGCCCCGCGATCGACCCCCCGCCC